TAACATGCACAGACCTGGTAGAGGAAGGTAACAGGACATACACAACATAGCACAGGCAAGGAGTGAACCTCAAGCGCTGAGCTTAAATGCAGCTCCTGGACAAAAGGGCAGAAGGTTTATGGGTGGGGGTCCTAGGTGAGGCTGGTCATGTTAATTATAGCCAGTTACTGCACTGAGGGCTCTCACATCAGGCACAGATGATGCAGGGAATGCGACCACTAGTGGGGTTGGAAAAATTTCAGTGGATATACTACTGTAGTCATTGTGCTCTTAAAATCCTGCTGATGACAGCATTCAGGCAGAGAAAAGGGAGCTGGTTTGAAAATATATTTGCATTGTAAACAGCTTCACACAGTTCTGGGTCCTGTTCTCTTTGTAAGGCTGGAGAGGCGGAACACAGCCTTGCTTGCTGAAGGACAGAAGCAGGTAGGCACTTGAACCTAATGTAAAACTTCTCCATTTACCCTAAATGCAAATTATCTGGCTGAGTTTTTGCATATGCACCCAGGGGTAACAGAGAGCAGACCGTGGCGTGTCTCCTACGACTCTTTTGTTAGTTTCAGGAGAATATGACGTGATTTGACTATGTATTTTTGTTGTGCCCTGCACAGCAAGAGCATACCTATATGTCCAGTGCAGTACAGGAGAAAGGACAAACATCTCTGGAGCACTTGTGTTTGGTTTTGATCAGCAGCTTACATTTACTCCGCTGTTCCCTGGCTGTGTGGCGAGTGCGTGCTTCTCTTCTCCACCAAAGGCACTGTGCTGGCACCTGCAAGAGCATGCTTCTGCTGTTTTGGTGGGGCGTAGTTGGGATTTCCTTATGTTTGAAATAATACATGCTTTCCTTTGCTTTCTTCTGCCTGTGGAAGACGGCAGGGATTGTTCCTCTTCAGGCAGCTGATTTCTGCTTGTGCTGTGTTTCCTTCTTCTGAATTCTCAGAAATCGATACTGCTGATAAAAGGTGTTAACAGCCTTTAGTTCCCAAGGACTTACCACATAAGCTGTTTTTTTTTTTTTTTTCCCTAGGCAAAGACCAAATAAGAGATTGTAATATAATGAGACAGACTGCAGCTAGTCTGTGTTTGCAGACTGTATATAGTCGAGAAACACTAAGGGTGGTCTCTCCATACTGTAACTGGCACATTTTCATGAAAACTTTACACTAATCAGCTTGCCCTAAGCGGTAGTTGCTGTTGGAAGGGGTATGCCACAGATTGCCAGACTGCAGAGGGACTATCGGATCTCTGAGCTCGAGCAAGTAATTTCTCAGAGATTGTCAAAATATGTCTCAAAAATAACGAGCATTCAAACCTCCCTTTCGGTTTATCTGCTCTCCACCAGTATTTTGCAAGGGGCTGTCTTATTTGCCATTGAAAGAGCTATGTTTCATGCTCCTCCTGACAGACTGCTATTTAAAGCTCTGCTTAGCATTCATATTTCTTTCTTGTCAGAATTATTTTATTTTTTCATTTGATTTTTAGAACCAGAGCTATAAATCTGGAAAGCATGCTGTGTTAGGGCTTGATTGAAATTCCATTGAAATTAATGAAAGCTTTCCTGTTGACTCTAGTGGACTTGGGAAATAAGGAAAAATGGTCTGTTTTAAAATAAAAAGATATTTTATATCCATGTCATAATGTTTATTACCAAAAGCAGGAAATAAAACAAAACATGTTATGCATGTCTTTTCCCAACAGGCCTCATACATCATTTAACTGCTCCCTACAAACACCCAGCTGTGACATGGAGTACAGCAACAGCTGTTCTGGGGTACCTAATAATTCTGCTTTATAAATACAAATATCTGAGGAAAAAGAAAAAATACCCTTATCTGATTGTTACAAATGTTCATATAAAATTGAAATTACACAAGAGAAACATCCAGCAGAAAAGCAGAAGCAAGTGTCACAGCCTGCTTTTGAAAGCCTAGAAGGAGACGCTCCCTTGTAGCCTCATTTCTACAAATTTCTGTGTAGAAAATACTTCTTTAATGACTCCCACTTTCCGTGGGTACTGTTCCCTTTTAATTTGTAGTTGAGCTTGTGGCTGTGACCTGGTTATCAAAAGTGCTGAGCCCAAAAAAAAAAAAGGTAAATATTATGAGATGTAATGAACGCTTCTGATGCTTGTCTAGGTAATTAAATATGGATCCAGGAGTCTAAAATGGAAGTGTGACATCTGCATGTTACTTTGTCGGTGAAAGTACTATAGTCTACTGATGAGCTAGTTACAATAAAGACAAGTCTCAAGTCTCCAGGGATTTTATGGAGACGTGAGGATACTTAGGTCTTGTCAGAATCGCATTTGTACGTTGTATTCTCAACTAATACTGAAAATAATTATAGTTGTGGTATTGCAAAATGTAATTTTGCCAAGACAGTATTTAAAGCCTGAATCAAACTTCCACATGCTGACGAGGAAAAAAGGAAACGATGCGGAGAAGTCTCGAAAGTGCATGCAAAAACAAGTGCTGCTTTAACGATGAAGTATTTGATAGCGCCTTTTTATCAGCATGCAGTCATGTGTTTAAATAGCATGAGCCATAGATGGCTGTTGCAGCTTGTCATTTGCCTTATGGGAGGCAAGAAAGAGCTTCTTGTTTGATTTGTAAGATGAGCTAGCTTGTTGCACAAGGCAACAGAGGAGGCTCTGTACAGAACTCCATAGTGAAGTATTTCCTAAGCTTTTTTGGACTCCTGCCACAAGGAAGTGCAGCGAGTGTAGTCACAGTGCAAGGAACATTGTGAAAGGGATTAGAAAGGAAACATCCCTTTAAAGATCATGGCAAAAAAACCCTGAAGACCCCAGCTGGTCAGTAAACTACAGAGATGGTCACAAAAATAGGTGTGTGCAACAAGGGAGTATGAAACAGAAAATAAGAAATCCTAGAACTGAAAAATGCTGGGTTTGTCATACTTTTCCACTGCTCTTGGATGTTAACGTAAGGGCTTTCGAAATTAGTAAGACAAAGATAAAGCTATGCTGAATAGGGTAAGTTCCTGATTTCTCCTCATGTCACAGTGTTTTTAAATACTGGCAAACAATGAGAGACCCATTCCCGAGATCAGTGGAAGCGGATGAGTAGGAGGGTATGACGGAGTTGCTTTGCAGGTTGAGAACACAAACACGTCTGCCTTGAAGCAGTGAAGAGCTGCAAACTTCATTTACGTTTCTTTGTGATTACCAGAAAATTGCAACACTTACTTACCTAAGCTAAAAATGGTTTGCTGCTTTAGCTTTCCAAGTGTAATATCCATGATAAATGACTCTACTGATATTTACATTATATTACACATCCCACTCAGTAAATGCAAAGGTGCAGCAGAAGTGAACAAAAATGTCCTTGCTGTCCTTTTTCCAGCTGTGGTTAAGGTGTAGATAGAAATAAATCAACAGCCACAAAAGGCATGTGAATATGCTGAATATATCTTAGATTACGGAATCTAAGATCTACACGTGATGCGCCAAATCAGCTTTTGGTCTCTGAGACAAACTGTGACTCGCTGGCGTCTACCGAGATAGAAAATGGAGAAACTGGTTTGGACAAACCATCGATGTTCACAGCGTGATCTTTACATCTATGGAAAACACTGTTAGTTCAAGTATGTAAGAAAAAAATGCAATAGGGACAAATTCTTTTCATCGCTTGCCTTTATCAAAGCAACTTGAGACAGACCCGTTCCGAAGTGCAGCGAAATCAGTGGCATCTTCTGCTTTTATAAAATAGGACAATTTTGTCTCATGCTAAAACAGAAATTGGTGTTGCTTTTTGGAAAACAAATGACATGCTTTTCACTTTTCATGAGACATTTTGGAAAGAAGGCTAGACACCTCTGCTTTTATCTACGTTTTTCACTTTTTTTTTGTTTGCCAAGCAAGAGCAAAAACCCACACAGTGGAAATTTGTTTTAGGTAAAACCCCACCATTCATTTCAGTTCTTCAATCGCAGTAGCCAGTTGCAAATGAAAATAAAACCTGAAGTGAGTATACTTGAAGGCAACTAGACAGTATTAAAAAATTATTTTTAACCGTTACGTTGTTCATTGACAAGATGAACGGTTTTATGTATTATTTGCGTGGGCTTTTCCCCCATTAACAGGAGAAAGGCGACACCGTGAAACAGCAACGCTGTGCAGGCACCTTACAGATCCCAAAGCAAGAGCGGGAAGGGTGCCGCAACACCCACAGCCGTGTTTAAGTGTTCTTCTAACGGGGATTCCGCCGCGGCAGTGCCCGTTTCCCCGCCCGGACCCCTGCGGCCTGCGGAGCGCTTTCCCGCTAGAGGGGGATGTAGCCAAAGGGCCCGAGCGCCAGCGCAGGCCCCGGCCGCTGCGGGGGCAGTCCTGCAGCTCCCCCCTCAGCGGGAAAGGGAAGCCAAACGCGGGACTTGCTGGAGCCTCCCCTCTCAAGCTAAAGTTAATTGCTGGGCTTGGGAGGAACCGGGAAAGGGGAACCCCGTCCCCGCCCCGCGCAGCGCAGACCACGGCGCCCGCCGCCTCCCCGCGCCGG